GACAAAATAGCACAAAATGACCATTTTCTGGAGGCTCTACAAGCATAACCACTCAGTATTTTTAACTAATTCTTTGATAGGCTCATTCAGGTTGACCAGAGGTATGTTCTGGCTACCTCTCCAGTTAGCACATATTTTTTTTTTCAGATGCCAAAAATGGCCTCCAGAATAAAAACCTTCTCAAGGCTCCAGCTTTCACTGAAATTAGTCCATACCAAGGGAAGTGTAACACAACTACATAATGTAAAAGAATACACAAATACATTTGAGGTACAATAGATTCTTAGAAAGAACCAGAAAAATGAACCAACCTTCATTCTTTTTGCACTCAACTGTATATCAGAATTCTTCCTACCTCTGCGGCATTGCTGAATCTGTTTATACTCCCAGTGATGATGATGATACATAAATTGAATAACACTGCTCATCACTTGGCCTTTGGCCAGCTCCTCGCAGTGGTAAAAACACAGATCTTGCACAGATCATTTGCAGATCATTGGTTCTCCATACATCTGTCACATAGTTTTGCGAGCCACAACCAGAGTGACTAACATCTGCTTTGGTAAGGCAGGTGAGGAAAAAACGTGAAGTGTGCATGTGATCTCCATCCCAGGTGAGCAAAGTTTTTTTGAAAGGTTGTATCACAAGACTCACTACTGACATAGCAAGAATATCTATTCTTATTGTGTTTGTTATATAAATTGATATACAGATGAGTGCAAAAAGAATGAAGGTTGGGTCATTTTCTGGTTCTTTCTAAGAATCTATTGTACCTCAAATGTATTTGTGTTACACTTCCCTTGGTATGGACTAATTTCAGTGAAAGCTGGAGCCTTGAGAAGGTTTTTATTCTGGAGGCCATTTTTGGCATCTGAAAAAAAAAAAATTTGCACTAACTGGGGAGGTAGCCAGAACATACCTCTGGTCAACCTGAATGAGCCTATCAAAAAATTAGTTAAAAATACTGAGTGGTTATGCTTGTAGAGCCTCCAGAAAATGGTCATTTTGTGCTATTTTGGTCATTTTTGGCCTGTTTTAGACAATACAAGCCATTTTCCAAAGCCTCTACAGACCTAACTGCTCAGTATTTTTGACTGATTTTTTGATAGGCTCATTCAGGTTGACCAGAGGTATGTTCTGGCTACCTCCCCAGTTAGCGCTTTTTTTCTTTTTTTCAGATGCCAAAAATGGCCTTCAGAATAAAAACCTTCTCAAGGCTCCAGCTTTCACTGAAATTAGTCCATACCAAGGGAAGTGTGACACAACTACATAATGTAAAAGAATATACAAATACATTTGAGGTACAATAGATTCTTAGAAAGAACCAGAAAATGACCCAACCTTCATTCTTTTTCCACTCCTCTGTATTTAGATGTGAACTTACAGACTGTGCAACTTGAAGATACTATCAATGACAAGGGACTACAGGTTATTGTGTTGTTTGGGTCATTATAGATAGGAGTAAAAGCACATGTGATCTGTCTGACTGTCCATGTGAGCAAAGTTTTTTTTTGAGGTTGTATGACAAGACTCACTACTAACATGGCAAGAATGTTACACACACCTGTGGGCACAGAGCCCACTACAGGTTTTGTAAAACCTTGACCCATAATATTACTAAGGTTGGGATGTATGGCTTCATATATATTGCAAGATTACAGTAAGTCTAATCAGAGAGAAGGGTAGTAAGTGTTTTTAGGGTTGTGTTACTTGTTTGATGCACTATTTTGAACAATGAGCAGATGGAGGTAGGTGTGAATATACTTTTTGATTATTTTCCAGATGGCTTCAAGATCCATTTCATTACAATCTTCCACTTTGCCATTGTTGCCATTAACTTCCATAATGAGGATGGGTCCCTTCCATGTAAAATGGTATGCCAGAGTGAATGTCCAATGAACGCATTCATTAAAAGCTGCATGGCATTCTTGTTCTTCAAAGAATACTGCATAAGTCAGCTGTGAATGTACAAGATCCAGTGAGGGATTTTTATGCAAGAATATGAAACAGCCCCTATATATATGCCCCTCTGCTAAAATTTAGAGGGAGACCATATGGACTGTGAATTGCATTTTTTTTGTGGTGTGTCAACTATGAGAACAGAACAACAACACTCAATAATAAAAAAAGAACAACAAGAGTCACATCACCTATCAAAATTCTGACTTGGATGTGACTTGGATGTTACTTGGATGTGACAGCCATTTCAATCTCCCAAAACAATTGACTTTGATGACCGGTAAGCCTCTGTCAGCTTCCACCACTGTACAATGAAAAAAAACTAAAAATACATTCATGTTCATGAGGTACACATTCACCACCCCACAAAATTTGAAGAGCCAGAGTGTAGCGGTTGTGGCATAATTCAGCCAGAGTGTAGCAGTTGTGGCATAATTCAGCCAAAGGTCAAAATTGTGTCAAACTCCCGGTCAGTGATAGTATGCATACATAAGGGTACTAACCCTGTCCCTTACATCAGATGGGTGGTGTCATTCAGTCACCCCAAATAACTCACTTCAATCTTCACCAGACATCTTCAAATTTCATGTACTAGTTCACAACCATGGACTGGACTCACTCATGCATTTCTTTGGTTAGGAAATGTTTTCCTGCTGCATGCCCACCCCCTGCCACTCAACAGCCTCCAACTCAAACTCAGCAGCAAGAGCCCATCATGCAGCATGCCTCCTTATCTGGACCAACACATCTCTCCCTAGTCTCATCCTCAAGCCCACTTCTCCATCCCTCCCCACCTTGCCCTCCCAGCTGCTTCTCCACCTGCCCTCCCCATGGCATGTGGAGTTGACAGTTGTTGTACTTGAATGCAACAATATCAATGATACAGAGTCTAACAATACATTCACATAAAATGTGAGTTTTACCCTTGTATTTGTTGGAAAAAAACACTGTGAAACACTAAGTACACTTGTAACAATCACAAGAATCAATGGAAAAGCCCTGTCTAGTTGATTAAAGTATTCTCTGAGAAATGTGCACATCTATAAAAGTAGAGATTATGGTTGGCTTGCAGACTAGATCACTATAATATGCTAATATTGAAGATTAAATCACCATGAATAGTTAACCAATCCATTTTTTAGAGTAGACCACTACAGCACAGGGTCAGACAGTACACTTAACATGGGCAGTATTTTATTGTGGATTAAAAATGATATATTGTGCAGATAAACATGTAGGTGTATGAACACAATGTGAGCCAGACATTGAAGTCAAAGTATGTGTACATTGGATGCAAGGGTGTGTGTTGCTGGTGATGTCAGTTGTTGTATCAGTCATGGCAGAAAAAGTGACAAAATGCAATTGAGGAGCAGAAAAAAGGTTCAAAATTTTTGGAAGATAACCAAGAAGTGATTTCTTTGCATCGGAACCTGATCTGAAGTGATGGGGAGATGCACTCCCAAAAGCAAGCCATATATTGTGTGAGTCTGTCAGAAGCAAGGTGTTATCTTATTCTTAGATGTGCTAGCTCTCATTCCTCAAGCTTACTCATCACGGAGTGTATAAACACAATGTGAGCCAGACATTGAAGACAGAATCCAGGTACAAGGGCCTGCTATCTTTCTTCCAAGAAATTCAAAAGTTTGCTGTTTTTATCCATTGTACATGTGCAGTATCTTTTCTTAGAAAGAAATCACTAAGTAGTGAAAGGTTAGATTGGTATTGGCTGATAATGATAACATTGAGTTGGGCCTCCTTGTGATGTTAGTGGTCTGGTTCATAGAACTGAAAGAAACTGTAGGGCTAGAACAAACTGTACCATGGTCCAGTCTTTTTTTCATTGTGGTTGCTTAAATTTAGAGTTATTCCAATTGCCAGTTGCCTCATTTTGAAAATCTTTTAAAACCACAGTTGCAACCGGTTAAACAGTCAGGTGCATACATACCCTTGCAAACATTTTCATTACCTTCAATTTGATTCTTGGTAGGCAAATATGCTGACCATCTATCAATGAAGCTGAGGCTGAAGATGCAAGTTCTAGATGCAAGAAATGGTATTCTTGGAGTGGAATATGAAGTCCAAGACAGTAAAGTACAAAATACTTACATAAATGAGACAAAAGAAATTGTTATTCAATAGCATATCAAGATATGAGTACAAGATAGATCAGTGAAACAGAAACTAATTGAGAGCAATGCATGGAAACACTGTAGTGGATAAATCAAGTACAACATCCTGCAAAGTCATCATCAAGATCATTCTTTTTTATAAAATAAATCTGCTATTTTGGATTTAAAATTTGAAGCTTTCTTTGCAAGTTTGGAAATAAAATGAGCTGAGGATAAAAACATCAGAGGGCACAGGGGGTTTAAACAACAATTACCAAAATTCATACCTTTTTTCTTAGGACTCATTGTTGTATCTAGAAGAACTGCTTGAACTGGGTTTTCTTCAACAGGAACATTGCTGCCTGCATCAAGAACTTGGGTCTCCTGGGCTTCTTGGACATTGGCCATGGCAGTTATTGCATGAGAAGATTCTCCTGCTAGATTTCCCATAAGTCTGATGATGTCTGGGTCTTCCACTCCACGAAGTCTGTTTCTTGCATCCAAGACTTTGATCTCCAGCTTCTCTGCCTCTGTGTATTTTTCCAGGTGTTTATATGTTATTGCTAGATTTCCCATTGCTTCAATTGTTTCTGGGTGTTCTACTCCAAGAATTCTGTTTCTTGCATCCAGAACCTGGATCTCCACCTCTTCTGCCTCTCTGTATCTTCCCAGGTGTTTATGTGTTTCTGCTAGATACCCCATTGCTTTGATTGTATGTGGATGTTCCACTCCATAATTTCTGTTCATTACATTCAAAACTTGAATCTCCAGCTTCTCTGCCTCTGTGTATTTTCCCAGGTGTTTATATGTTATTGCTAGATTTCCCATTGCTTCAATTGTTTCTGGGTGTTCTACTCCAAGAATTCTGTTTCTTGCATCCAGGACCTGGATCTCCATCTTTTCTGCCTCTCTGTATCTTCCCAGGTGTTTATGTGTTTCTGCTAGATATCCCATTGCTTTGATTGTATGTGGATGTTCCACTCCATAATTTCTGGTCATTGCATTCAAAACTTGAATCTCCAGCTTCTCTGCCTCTGTGTATTTTCCCAGGTGTTTATATGTTATTGCTAGATTTCCCATTGCTTCAATTGTTTCTGGGTGTTCTACTCCAAGAATTCTGTTTCTTGCATCCAGAACCTGGATCTCCACCTCTTCTGCCTCTCTGTATCTTCCCAGGTGTTTATGTGTTTCTGCTAGATACCCCATTGCTTCAATTGTTTCTGGGTGTTCTACTCCAAGAATTCTGTTTCTTGCATCCAGGACCTGAATCTCCATCTTTTCTGCCTCTCTGTATCTTCCCAGGTGTCTATGTGTTTCTGCTAGATATCCCATTGCCTTGATTGTGTATGGATGTTCCACTCCAAGAATTCTGTTTCTTGCATCCAGGACTTTGATCTCCAGCCTCTCTGCCTCTGTGTATTTTTCCAGGTGTTTATATGTTATTGCTAGATTTCCCATTGCTTCAATTGTTTCTGGGTGTTCTACTCCAAGAATTCTGTTTCTTGCATCCAGAACCTGGATCTCCACCTCTTCTGCCCCTCTGTATCTTCCCTGTTTATGCAGCAGCATACCAAATTTGGCATAAGCATCATCAAAGTAACTGACACTGTTCTGACTACTTTCTGATCTGGAATACTCTATATTTGCCCTACACATGTGTTACCAATGCTCTTCTGAATTCATATGGCTGGAATGCAATTTCTCTGAGTGAACAAGCCAAAGTAACATATGCCATTAAACAACACTATTTTCTCTCATCAAAAAGTATCCTGTCTCTGCCCCAGGTGTGGACCAGAGGATGCATTGCATACACATAATCAGATGGGCCTTTCTTGATCAAGGAGAATGACAGTAATGTTCGAGTTCCCTCTCTAAAAAGAAAGTTATCCAAAGTTCCTCTTTTATTTACAGGAAGTAGTCTCCGATCCAGTATAGCACTAGCAAGGGGCAATTCAGGGCTAGAGGTCATTTGATCCTTTTGAAGAGCAGCATAAGAAAATATGTCCTCAGTAATTCCCTCATGATGGAAGAAAGAAAAGAGTTCCAGGAGGAGCATTGCACTTTTGGCTGCATCAGCCTTATGAGAATCATGAGATTTAGCCCTCTTTTGAATTTCTTCATATGATAGTTCCCAAGTTCCATAGACACTTCTGTTATACTTAGAAGCTCCAATAAATTCAGAATGGGACAATAGTCTCTCTCTGTGATCTGAATACTTTTCAAGGTACTCTCCAATAGTAATGGCCCCAGAGGCAATATAAGCACCAGCCTGATCAATAGCAAGAGGAAGGCAGCAAAGCTCCTTTACAATCCTAGAGGCTTCAACTTGAACATCTGATGTAGGTGATTCCAAGCAGCTGGCTTTTAGAAGTAATTCAACAGCATTATTCTCTTCCATCTCAGTTACTTCAAGAGAATTCTCAGGTGAAGTCAGAGTCCTCATGGCAGAGTTACGACTAGTTATCAGAATGTTTCCCACCCCTCCAGGGGGAAGATAAGCCTCCAGTTCAGCAGGTGATAGAACATCAGCATTGTCAAAGACTATGATATAATTCTCTTTCAGAAAGCCAATCCAGTGAAGAGCAGATTCAGGTGAGCCATCTAGTCCACAAGACTGAGCTGCAGGGAGATTACAAATACCCTTGAGTCCCTGTGTGATGGTGACAACTGAAGATGCATCAATCCAGAAAACAGAAGAGAAACTGAAGGGAATCAATTTTTTAGAAATGAGGGTTGGATCTGGATCTTTGGTGATACTCACCAGCCAGACATTTCCTCAACAAACTTCAAGCAAATTTGGGTCTTCCCGATGCCCCCCATGCCATGTAGCAGAAATTTTTTTCTTTTCTCAGCTGGCTCACTTGTGTTTGTAGAAAAATGCTTCTTGAGTTTGGCAATGACTTCTGTACGGCCTGTGAACCGATTGCTCGGATTTGGCATCAGGGGAATGACCCCATCGGACGCCGTCCTATTGCCATAATTGTTGATGTTCATCTGCCCAAGATCCATTCTATCAGTTTAGTTCACTGAAATGCTCACATGATAACCATTCTCAGGCTACTCACAGTGTTAGCAGTATTGAATGTGCTGTTGCTAGCAACAAAGTGGTGAGCACCGGCAAAAATGCTCGCTCCGCTCATGTTGAGATACCGAAGGTGGAGAGGTTCAGGATGAGGGAAGGAAGCAAAGGAGAGCGCCCGGAGGCCAGGAGACCCCCAATTACGCCACGAGGTCGACGTGTGTTTTAATCTATTTTTATCTATGTACCTTAAGCACGTGCCCAGGCTTCTCCAGCGTTTTTCTCGCTCCTCAGTGTCCAGACATGGCGATTCACCGTTTTCGGTGAGTGGGCTCGACCTTTTGCATGGTGGCTCCTACAGAGTTTACGACAAGTTGAAATCCCCTGGCGCCGGAGGCGCCTAATGTGACGAGCGGTGTTTTACAGGACCCCGCATCTTTTTTCCCGTATGAGTTCGTACAGCAACGAAGATCTTTCAAGAATTTCCTGGGGAATGAAGGTAGGGAATGTACATGCTGGACGCGGGAGCCTCCGCTGACAGTATTTTGCTTAGCAGTCACAGCATTTTTGGTTGCGCGGTGTCAAGTCCCTAATTGCATGGTGGGGAAGCTTAGCCCTTAGTTGGCCTGACAAAGAATGTCAGGTGAGTTCACATTCCTTTCTATAACGGGGGTAGCCAACAACTGTTTACACAGATGACTATATTTGCTACTTTACCAAGTCCGAGCGCGTTCTCTTGCGTACCACCTTCGCCCACCTCCTTCCCTTTAAACCAACGGTCAAAGAGCACCTACCTCTTCGCAACCCCCCACACCTACCGTCCTCTGCAGCAGGAACGTGTCTACACCTCCCAAACTTCTACCGCCTCCCTCGAGTGCAGTGGCCAAGTGTATCCTTGGCCTTCTCCCGACTGACGAACGTTGGAAGGGCCTTTCCTGAGAAGACACGGATGCACGGCTTCTTCGTCTCGATGTATGGTGGAGGGCGAATTGAGATGGATTTTGATGATGAATGTCACACCTGAACTCTTGTCTTGTTGGATGTCTACTAGTGGATATTGAGGACAACGCCAAGCCGAATCTTCGACGAGGTTGAATGTCGGGCCGAATGCATCTGCAACCACACTTGCTTTGTGGGGTTTCCCTTTCGTCGACTTTCACCAGCGCCGAGGTCGTGCTTCAAGACTCTCGTTGACGTGGGAGCATGTCCGCCTCTCGCGTCGCCGTCTTCCTGGAGGGGTTTTCACATCGTTGTGGAGAAACCATTGTATTCTTCAGCTGGCATCACATCAGCCACTGAGCTCTAGACGGCTAAGAGCAGCCCAGCAGAGGGAAAGAACAGGCTGGGGTTGGACTGGCCCAGTGCGATGGAGCAGGTTCATTGGTGGGAGTGGGTTTAGATTCTGGGCGGACATAGAGACATTGTGTCATGGAGATGCAGTGTTCCGATTGGAAAAGCGAGGTATGCGATCGGGAGGGGAAGTGTCTGCGGAATTCGTTGATCTGGGCATGATGCATTGATGGGGCAGTGGCAGCCGTAAGCGAGAGACTGGCCAACTTGAACAGTGGAGACGTTAGTTCCACTAGTGTAGAATTGGTGTAGAACACAACGCTCGCAGACAGTTCCCGCTACTACTGCGCTGTTGTATGTAGAACTTGCCTAGTGGTGACCTTTCCGTGATGTGAGTTTTCGTCAAACAAATTTCTCTCGCTCAACCACCACAAGCTCAGCGACCCAGCACATCCCTTGAAGGCATGGTTTTCCCACCCTCCGACTCAGCCTGCGGTGGGACTCTTTGCAAGGATTTCGTGGCATGTGCGCTGACGACAGTGATCAGTTCCTTTCCGCCTTATACGTTCCTCGTACCGTATTTGCCTGCACATCGTGCGCCTTGAAAGTTGCAGGCCGCTTGAAGAACCTTATCGAACCAACCTCAGGTAAGTACTTTCGAATTCCAAGTTGGGCGAGTTAATTCTTACAGTACTGCTTGCTTACCCGCAGCAATGGTTAGGCGGGGATGTTTTTCTTCTCTGACAGGGGAGTGTGGTGCTCCGACATGGACAAGTGGTTGAACTTAGTCTTGCGTGAATTGTGGAGTCTCTCGCGCGACGAGAGGAGGGCTTTGCCCATGCCAACATGCGGGTAAGTACTTTTGAACTTCAAAAACCGACTTCAGGTTTACAGCACTACCGCAGAGATTAGACGAAGCCTTGCTTCTCTCGTCGGCTGCTAGATTCACAAGTGTTCGAGCAAAAGTTGTCCCTCTCCAATGCGGCGCGCGTACAACATTCTTGTTGGCTTACTAGGCTTTCACAGTGCACAAACCTGCACGTCGTGAATGATATTTCCTGTGCTGAGAACAGTGTCAAAGGAACCAACCAGTACGTCCAAAAAACGTCAAAGTGGGCGATTTGACTTTTAACGGTATCCGTGGCAGGGATCAAACTGGGAGGCTCTTCTTCTCGATCCATTCTTTGATATTACCAAGTGTACGAGGCGGGGTTGAACCAAAAATACAAGCCCCCCCCCTCTAATGCCAAGCGAAATCAATGTCGTCCGCTTCTATGTGGACTCGATCGGACGCTCTGGGTCGACCACAACGGCTTGAATACGCATGAAGAGACCGTATTAACACGGCGGGTTTTCAAGCCGGATTCAAAAGATTGGATGTCTATAGGCAATGTCGCACTTCGCACGCTTCCATAGGAGAATATTGGGTCGACCTCCTAACGCCTCTGAATAGACACAGCTTCGAAAGAAATGTGCGGGCAAGGTACGCATGGTAGGCAGAGGACCAAGCACGTCGCTCTGAGGAGCCCAATGTCAGTCTCGGAAACAGACAGTGAGTGCGTTCTCTATCCAGGAGCGAACATACATATAATCTCTTTTTATCGAATTAGCCTCCTTTTTCCTCCGAACTGTCTCGCGGCAGTCAAAGCTTGGCACAAAAAGAAAGGAAGCTGCCGTTCTTCTCGCTGCCAAGGATTTACCGTCATGCTGGCGAAGTCGCTTCTCCTCTGCCTTTTGGCTGCTTCCCCAATTCTCGCTGCCCAGGGGCCTGCGGCCACGACGACGACGACGATTTCTGTCACTCACACCTCGTCGTCTTCCTCCTCGACCTCCTCCTCCAAACCGCCGACCACCTCATCGAACGCTGTCAGCACCTCGTCGACACCGTCATCCACTAGCTCATCCAGCTCAACCTCTAAAAGCTCGTCATCCACCAGTTTAACCAGCTCCACCTCAAAATCCTCCTCAACATCATCTACCAGCTCCACCTCCAAATCCTCGTCGTCCTCAACCTCTTCCTCAACCTCTTCTTCATCTAAAACATCGTCATCCACAACCACATCTCCATCGACTACGTCAACCACCTCGAGTACTACCACGACTAGCAAGACCACTACTAGGACCACTACCACAGTGACATCGACTCGAACCGTCACTTCTGGAATAAGCGTCACAACCACTACGACTCCAAGTACCACTACAACTCCGACTACTGGTCCGATCACTGTTACCGTTACAGCCACGACCACAATCCCCACCACGACCACGGCCCGCCGTACTACTGTTACAGTGACCTCAATCCGAACCGTCACCTCCGGAATAAGTGTCACGACCACTACTACTCCCAGCACTACTCCGACTCCGACTACTGGCCCAGTCACCGTTACCGTCACGTCTACGTCCACAGTCCGAAGTACATCCACTACGAGTACTATCACCGCCACCCCTACTCCTACTGGTGTACAAATCCATCCCAACAGCAACAACACTAAGTGTATGGACGTTGCGGGTAACATCCGGCAGAATGGAACTCCGGTTCAGATGTACGTTTTTTTGCCTCAGACAGTCAGACTTCTCTTCGTGATTTTGATTTACTTTTTTGGTTCAGATTCGACTGCAATGGCAGTTCAGGTCAACGATGGAACATCACAAGAGGCCTCACGAAGGTTCAACTTGCGGGCACGAACTTCTGCTTGGATGCTGGCTTGCGTAAGTTCCCTCGTTTACGTGCCCTTGAAAGCTAATGTTGCATGGGTTCTAGCGAACCTCTTCGGCAATGGCGACAGGCTGAAGATCTGGCAGTGCATTGATACTATCCCAGCTCAAACGTGGGCCTACACGAACCAGAATCAGATCTTGCTCCTTGCGACAGAGCCTAGCATTAGTATGTCCTCTTCGTTTCAACTTGTGTTCTTTCAGAAATTCACCACCCGTCAGACCCTCAATGCGTTGATCTCCCCGATGGACAGACCTTCAACGGAAATCAACTGCAAACCTTCCAATGCTCCCCTCTCTATGCGAACCAGATCTGGACCACTACGTCTTAAAGGGCAGTGGATATCTAGGAGGGTACTTCGTTGCGGAGATACGGACCCAATCAGCGATTAAGCTCTCTTGTTATCTTATTTTTTTCTTCGATGTTTTGCTCTCAACCTACGTTGCAATTGAATAACTTTGGAGAGCTGTTCCAAAAAAGGAAGTTGAACATGTTAACGCTTGAACAAAATTTGTAAAACCAAGTTCAACGGGTGACTTGGTGTTATAATAACCCATTGATCACCCGGTCTACCAGACCGGGTTATGCACCTGGTAGCCTGGTGATTATTCCTTGCTAACTCGTTTGTTTACTGCTAGTATTTACTGGTGAGTCCCCAATCACGTCACGAGGTGAGAGCGCGTGTATCGGTCTATTTTTATATACAAGCAAGCGCCTAGGCTTTTCCGACTCTCTTCCAGCCTTCTGAAGAAATCATTTATCAAGGTTTTCCTTGGAAATGAAGGTGCGGAGTGTACTCGCTGGATGCAGGAACCTCGGCTGACAACCTTCTAGGTAACAGTCAGGTTGGCCGCGCCGTGCCAAGTCTCAACCCCCGAACCAGAAAACGCTACGCGATCTACATCTCGTCTTTACAGGCCTTCTAGTGTCACCATTGCTCGAAGTGGGTGGCAGGATATCGAGGCTACAGCATCCGACGGCACAGATTCGCCTTCGTTTGAACATAGTTGAACAACCAACAACAACCAATTTTATACCTGCAAACTCTCTTCGAAGGATGGAGGTACTACGTGGGGGCTTAGCGGGTCATGTTCGAATGCCGATATATTTGTTCGTCGAGTCCTCACTTACATAGTGGGAGGTCAGCTTTGGGCTCTTTGGTGTGCTATGTCAAGTTCTTTTCTATAACAGCGGTGGCTAGAGCCTAGTAACGACTGTTGTCGCAGATGACTTTGCATATTCAGCTACTTTCCCAAGTTCGAGCAGGTTCTTTTGCATCCCCACATTCGCCCGCTCCTTCTCCCAAACGAAACCAATAATCAACAACAGCCTACCTTTGCGGTTCCCTCATATTCCACCCCACCGGCAACGCGCCTACACCTCCCAACCTCGACTGCTCCAGGCAGCCTTAGCCAAAAATGGCTTTGAGGGACAGACTGAATCCACTTATTGGCGATGCTCCAGCCTCCGGGATCGAGAAGGCGATACGCATGTGAAATCTGACCATCTCGGCCTCAAGGGCACAAGCCGCTTCCTTAGTTCGGTCATACCCAATTGACAGCAGTACATTAAAAACTGCTAACTTCCCGGCGTTTGGTACATTTGTTGTTCGGGTGTCCCAAGGTGCCGTATTGCAAGGTCTAGAGCGTCTTGGACCGCCCGAGACTCCTCGTACCCCCTTTTTCATGCCATTGCGATAGATTTTGGACGATGACTGTAGGCGACACCGAAGAATGACTCAGCGACTTACAACGGCCTGCCAAATTTAGCGAGAAGTTTTATGTCCGATACGTCTTCATGTTGTAGAGACCCGGAAACAACTGGATCGGGAACTTGGAATTAGCAGTCGAAAGGTTGACAATTCGTCGAAGGAAGCGCCGAAGCGGCAACGTAAAGGCTTGAAGCGATTTCGCCAAATACTTGACTAAGTAGGTGCTTCTCTACAAGTATACGCTCTACCGCGCTTTGGATCCGACCTAAGTGCGTTCTCCCTACTTGTCATACTGAATTGACTAACTTGGAGGACGGTCTAAACTCAGTGCGCGCCTGAGTCGGTCACCAATTTATTGCTTCCAATCACTTGACTTCTACCAAGTTTTACTGCTCTGGGACTCCCAGTATAAAATGTCGACGAAGTGTCTGCGCCTACAGATTACCCACCCAATTAATTCATGACAGTTCAAACCGCAAGTGTGGGTCCACCGCGTGTGACGTCCCGAAAGTAGCCGTTACTTGATTGATCCCTGCAGAAAAAAAGGCTGCCGAAGCTGGCGCGTGTACTCGACGACATAATGCAAAGCAAGGCAAGGTTTTGGCTGTGCGCATCAGTCAAACCTAGGACAACGCGAATTCCAACACGTAAGCCCTACGTTTATGTCTTAGCATGATGTCCCGCAGAACCGAGGCTGTCTTTTTATTTCAAGCTCAATCTTTCCGGGCAATGTTCTATTACCCCTCACTGAATGCGTGGTAGGTCCAATGACTTCATTTGTTATCCTGTACATCTCCTACTCAAACATGATGAAGGCCGCGATACCGATAACCGCTTTTGAACCGCTCGATGCCGCCCCCCTCTGGTCACATATACTATGTAAGGGCCTGACGCCATTGACCCAACATTGACCTGAATAAAATATATGACCGTGCCCTGTCAACAAGATTTGCTTGGCAGATGCCCTTAGTAGGACTCCGATAGGAGTAGGCACAGCAAATCAAATCAAATTAAACACTCATGGTGTAGACAGTGACGATGGCGACCATCCGGCTTTCACTTGACTTCATGACCTCATTTCCTTTCCAATCGGACAGGGCATATCCATGACGCGTCTGGGCCGTAAAGCATCTGTCTTATCTTCAAGTCATACTTGGAGTAGTTAAACGCAATGCATTACAAATTTCAAGCACGAAGCGGGCAATTTGGTACACCGGGCCTAAGTTAGGCCTAAGTAGGTATTGAAGGCTGAGCGCTGGGTCATTCAGTCCGGCGTTGGAATTCCAGCAGATTTCAGTCACCAAATTCTTGAAGCAGTGTGGCGGAGGGAAGCCGGCTCACTAGAAACGGCTTGCGGGAAGTAATTGAATCGGCCAATCTAAACAAATCAAGAAATAATGTACATATAAAATCGTACAGCGGATTTGGAGGATGGATGATAGGAGATGATAACTACACGTAAAATGAAAAAAAAAAATTCTCTATTGGTCCAATGACGTGCGGAGGACTATGCATCATCTAGGAGAACAACTCGTTCAAGCGATACCGAGCAAGTGATGCGTGGAACCCAATGTAGCCTTGACTAAAATTGGCGTACGCGGTATGGGCGTCCCGATGAGGCGAAAGGATTCGGAGTACTTGCGAGTGGCATGTAGCTGCATCTTGGGATAATCGGTGGATGACTTCCATTTTGGAAACCCCGTGGCACCTTGCCAGATTTGAGACACGGTTGACCGTTTCACCGGCAGAATCTTCCTTGTAAAAGGAAAGGACGTCGCTGAACGGATGATTATGAGATCAATCACTCCACTACACCGAGCATCTTAACTTGACGCACTTAACGTTATTTATAAACATCATGTCTTCTGGGAGTGCCTGAGTAGCCAACGTCAGAACGTGGGCCGTAACCAGAAGGATCCCAAGCTCACTTGAATGTAAAAAGGCATGGGAATTTGCGGAGGAAAGGCAAACAGAGCGTAGGTCTCGGAGGCGCCTGACATAACTCGCGAAAAAGTGGGATAATTATGAGCGTCCAGAGAAGACTGAATGAAGAAACGTTATTTGCGGAAGCTATTTTTAGGATAAGCCGCACCTTCATATTCTGCGTTTCGTGTTCCAATAATAGCGCTGTCACGAGATTCAACGTCGACGTCGTCATAATGTTGGAGACAACGCGTCCAAAATGCTGAGGAAATTCACGAAGCAAAGAAGCGAATCCATCGAGGACAGGGTCGTCCTGGGGTTGGCACAAGATGAAGCGCTCATTAAAGCAGTAGACAAGTTCGATGTCATGCTGGAAGACATCGTCGAGGTAAATTAAGAATGCGGTATAGAGGGCGATGAAAATTTGAGTGGACTTGTTATCGAGGTGCGCATAGGCAGTTGTGGCCATTACGACACCCCCCGGCATGAAGGGATGGAGAGAGCGGGCACCAGGATAGGTCTCCATCGCATAACCTTTGCTCCTGGCCACCTGGCAGCAAGCGTTGTGGAATTCGTGGTTGTACGGGGTGACGGGGAAGGGGAGATTGCACTCCGCGAGTAAATTGGTGACGGCGTTTTTGATCTCATCGTGAGGGTCGGCAATTACGGACTGAGTGCTAAGCTTCAGAACAAGCAGGGGGATGATGAGCTCAGGGTCTTACCTTTTCAAGTAATGGCTCAAGGGGGGCTCCTTTGATAGTCCCGACGTCGAAGGCGAGAAATGTGCGAACCCAGTAAGCAAGGTCTGTGAGCATGATGGAGGGCGAAGTGGGTTTGGGTAAGTTGGGTTTTTGTGCAACCGCTCATGTGTTAATATACCTTTTAATACCCCAGAGGCCCTTCAGCACAAGTCGCAATAAAAGGCCCAGGTAACCGATCTGGAAGCAGATCACCCTGGGTCGGCACCCATTACTGAGTTCACCCAAATGGACACGCAAACGGGTTTCATCTCATGACTAGCTTGGTTAGCCTGGTTTGTATGATCAGGAACTTCGTCGGACACCCCCGGGCACATGCCATCTTCGCGGATAAAAAGTAATCGATGCATGCCGCGTTCTTCTCCATTTGAAAGAACCCTTGATAAGCTGGCGAGGTGCACACAAACGGCAGGTCGTATTAACCGCAACCTCTTGGAAATGAAGATTTTTTCACGCGTATTTTCTATAGGTGATTTTTTGGAATGAATCTCGATTCTAAAACATAACTGGATTGGAGCTAGAGACGTACACAATTCTATACATGGTGCAATCGGGCGCTCCAAGAAGTACAGGAGAATTACAAACACGGAATGAGTGAATCTGAATTACTCAGACGAAAGGAAAGCGGCTAGATTTCACAAGGAGTCACGATAGGTGGCGTTGAACGCCTTGTCTTCGTCGCTGATTTCCAGCTCGAACTGCGAAAGAATCTCAGCCGCTGAAGCGAACTGCTTATCGATGATATCCTTGTGTTGAGCCGACCGTGGGGTAATGCGTACGGGGTACTCTTTGGGAGTAGCGGTCACGCCCTGAAAATTTACAACTTAGCTTGATATTGCAAGGTAGAAAAATCCTCCTACAGTGGTGTGATCGTCCAAACTAGGACGGATCTCTTTGCCGCTTACTGGATCTTTAGCAGAAGCGAAGTCGAACCCCCAGATCATATTGGCTATGTTTATTTCCTGGACGGCTCGTCAGTACAAACCAGAAAGACTCCAAAAATAGAACCTACAAGGGATGTTTTCGCAAAGGCGATACCAGGGCAGACTCGTCGTCCACCGCCGAAGAGCATGTTGGGCCTGCGGGCGGGATCATCTTCAACATTAGGTCTAACACCAAGAGGGTGCTTCAAGAAGCGCTCCGGCAAGAATTCTTCAGGGCGGTCGAAGTAGCGCTCGTCATGGAACATGCCCCCTGTGTGAATCAGGTTAATATAAGTGGGATCTCGATGTTACAGAGACCGAACATACAGAGATTAATGAAAATGACAGAATCTTTCGGGTACAAGACGCCGTTAATAACCTCGTCCTCGACCATAGAGTGAGGAAGCCCCATGGGTCCTATAGGGCGGTACCGGTGAACCTTTAATGATTGTCGTCAGGGGACGATGACGGGAGTCGATCTGAAGATCTTACCTCCTCAATGAAAGCCAGAACATAGGGCAGATTGGGAAGATCAGCCCAATCCGGAGACCTATCCTTGCCGACGACACGATCAATTTCCTCTTGCGCTTTCTTCAACACGTGCGGGAAATTGATTAGACAGTAGACAGCGTTCTGCATGCTGGCGGAGCATGTATCGGAACCCTCAAGTAGGACACCACCGGTATGCCTGAAAACGTATGAGTGAAATGTCTATCGTTTGGCGAAAAAAACCCACAAAATATGATCACGGGTAGTTAGGCCATATTGTTGTGCTTTGGTGATCATTTGTTCAAGGAAAACACCAGTTCCATTACCGTCGGCCATGCGCTTCTCGATGGTTGACAGGAGCCGATCGTACAAAGTCTCATGGAGGTGTCGAATGTTTTTAACGATCTTCTTCCAATTGGCCCATCGCTCAGGCACGAGCGTCAAGATCGGGAACAAGTCAACGGGCGGCATAGTGCCGATCTCCAGGGCGTTGATGAACTTGGGATGAACGTCCATGAAATCGACTACGTCAGGCGAAGAGAGAGTGGGTCCGCGTTTGCCGTAAATGATGCCAAGTGCATAAGAAGTGGTGTATCGACGAAGGTGTGAGTACCAATTCTGCACGTAGTAGTCAGCCAGCGTGTCTCAATGACCGAGTTCGCCACTTGCCTCTGGCATATGAGCCAGCTCCCACATCAACTGGCATGATTCGGCTTTCTGGAAATAGCCCAGGCGTCGAATACTTTCAGCGTTAAGAAGTTGAGCCGTGGCTTTACGCATGGACTTCCAAGTCGTATTGGCTGGCGAAGATTGTCAATGTTAATTTTTTCGGGTTGAGTTATGAACATACCAAGATGGCCTGTGCCCATGTTCATATTATGGGGAGTGATCATGTCCGCGAGAATAGACTTGGGACGGTTGCTGCTGCTAGCGCTGCGGATGTCGATGACCTCCTTCACGATGGTCGGCGAGTTGAGGACGATGATGGTCTGGTTGAAAACCTTCAGGGAGAAGACGTCGCCATAAACCTTGGCTAGAGAAGCCTGTTAGTCTGGTGCGAGTCAATTCATTTCGATAAACTTACACCACTCCGTAAACTTGATGTGCAGACGTTCACGGGGCATAATATTGGCGTTTCCAATGACTGGAAGCGTCGGAGGGCCAGGAGGCATGTTGGGAGCCCTTTGCCCATAGTGGGAAGCCCAATAGAGGACGTATCCCAAGGACACGGCGGCGATTGAGGTAAGAATTTGCAAAGTGGGCATGTTGGCGATGTAATCCATGTCTGGTGGAATCAGAAGGTTGCGAACGTGGATCCATGAGGGATGCTGGGCTTATAAAAAGGGTAGCTCCTAAGGAAATGCTAGTCCCCCCAACCGGGAATGGCCTGTGTGCGGATTCTGACAATGGCCATGGAGCAAACTCAGCCGCTGGAGGTTTGGTTCAGGACAAGGCCTGACAAGGCAAGCTGGACCCACAGAGAAAATATTTGATGATATTTCCCACGTGCACTTTTTACGTGTCAAACCTGCTTGATCATGTCAATCGATTTGCCACTACCATGCTTTCATTACCGCCTGCCTCAAAAGAGCAACTCGTTTCCAAAGTACTCGCATAACATACAATTAGGTTCGTAACCCGCGAAACTCCTTCCCCCACTACCTGTCTGCAAATTTCCGGAATTCAAACCCCCTACCATCCCACTCAACGGAGTCTGCCAGCCACGGGGGCTTCGGAACGCCTTTTGATTCTCCGGGGTATTCTCGTTTGCTATCTCTCGGCTCTAGAATATCAAATCCGGAATCTGTGGAGAACCCAAAGGGATTTGGAAATAGTGCGCATCTGGACGACCTGGCACTCCGGTTTGATCATGATTCATACACCGATAGCAGCTTGCATCTTTGTCTCGGCGTGTAAACTTGAGCCGATACAAAGCCGATATCGCAACGAGGCGCTGAACAACTGTTGCAGGAACGGAAGGTGCACGCCTCAACGTTGGCTCACACCCGGCATTCCAGTTGTTACCCCCGCAAGACGTTCTTTCCTTTCTTTGGTACCCTCGTTTCTATACGAGTACAGCCTCATTGACGGCAATATTTATACAGACTGCGCAATTTCAATTCGAACGGCTCTTGCAGTATATCTATGGTGAAATTATATAGCTCATTTCTCCGTTCTTTTGGAAGGCACGTTGCGGATGTACTAGTCCCTAATATCCTACCTGGAGTTTATCAGTCAACATTCGCTGGTAAATGAACGATGGGTCCACCTCTGTCAATCCAACACGATCGCACGGCGATCTGGTTCATCGCACCCTAGTATCCGGCGTAACCAAAACGACTGTAATGGCTGAAGCACTCTGATCTCATCTATGATTAAAGCTTACGAACACTCAAAAATGGGAACGTCAATCTCAAAGCGGATGACGATCGATTTGAGCGCAAATCACAAGGACCTACACGAGTCCACGACTCAAGCACGCTGCAACGCGCCAGACTATTTATCGGCTCCCTTATGTCGTTGGCCGACAGGTATTTCAACTGCCCTGAGGGTCGTGCGCATTCTGTCGCTCGGCGTGCCCATTTTCCACACTATGCCACGACTGATGACACCGATTCAGTTCTGGAAGCTCCTTCAAATGCATGCAGACCCTCAAAATGTGACCTCTTGTTTCCCCATGAGGAGAGCCGAGCTCCGGCAGATGCAATGCATTGGACCTTCGCCGTTATCTCTTCGTGTCTTCGCAACATCTGGTATAGTGCATTTTGGTGACATTTTCCCCATCTATAACTATTTCATGTCAGGGTCTGAAGCGCACACAGTGAGGACAATAGTTTTTAATTCATGGCTGTCCCTCCGACGCTCTCGGTGCACCTAGCCACCACCTAGTGCTGCTCTTGAGATTGAAATGTCAAATTTCCGTTGGACTCGGGCATTTATAACGTCGTCGATGTCATATCTTTTTTGACTCATCACGAAGTTCAGGGCGTTATTTGGAAAGCGAGAGCCTGCGAGAGCATACCAAACATTCGCGGAACTTTTTTGATGGCGACCCTCTGGTAGTGATGTTATGCATCTTTTCTCTGTGGAAGTTCTTGGAAGTCTGGGTCCACCCTTAACTCTCTAAAATGCAATTTTATGGAAGCTTCTTCTGTGGAGGAACCAACAAAGGGTTACCCTTATTTTTTTTTCCCTACCGAGGTGCACTAGTCCCCTCCACTGCGGATGAGTTAAGCTGTAAAGGCAAGGAAATTGGTAAGGTGCGCTGCATAGCTTCAATTACGGTCAGCGGATATTTACTTATCGGCTGGTACAGCATTGGGAAACGAGTAAACTGGACGTTTTACGTAGAACATCGCGATACACTGAAATGGACCATTTCGGCAAAGTCACTTACAAGTTGCTAATCGTCGAACGGCAATCGAAAAAGAAATTCAGTGTGTGAACGACAGTTTATATCATTCGCTGCCGAGGTTTGGAAAACATATCGGTTCGCATAAGTGCCAAGCGCTATATAATGAAGTCTTGATTTGAGAAATTGTTACTCACCCATTCCGTGCACCATTATAATTTATGATTCGATAAATGCGAATCGCACCCCTTGGAGCTACCGTCGAACGGCATTCGAAAAAAAAATTCAGTGTATGAACGACAGTTTATACCATTCCCTGCCGAGGTTTGGAAAACATATCGGTTCGCCTAAGTGCCAAGCGCTATACTCAAGTTGTTCTTTGAGAATTTCAAAAATAATAATAATAATAATAATCCCGTGCACCATTATGGTTCGATAAATGCGTATCGCACTCCTTGGAGCTACCGAGCGTCGGATTTATTTTTGACAGTATGATGTTATATCAGACCTCTGCTCCTTTCGCGACCCAGGAGCTGCGAGGATGCGTCTAATAATAGATATGGTCTTTGGAGTGTCCAATAATGGATACAGGAAATATCGTCGCGCAATATGGACAGCAACTTCCCAATGCTTTGATATTCACCCCGAGCAAGTTTACTGATTGATTCCCATCACCTTATTCTCGGGGTCGAAGTCCGGAGAAGGGATAGTCGCGCTGCGACCCCCGATGACAAGGGAACTCGAGCTTGGCAGTGACGACTCGGAGATAGAAGGAGCTGCTGTGTTAGATTACAGTCAAAACTAGTCTCTCCTAGACAGCTTCGATATGATGTGAAGTCGTACCTTGGTTCACGATCATATGAAAGTCAAAACCTTGAGATCCATTGTTCACGTTGCTTAATTTCGGGACGTACTCTCCGTCGTCCGAACTCCAGGTAAAGGTACGCGTTGTCGCTTTACCTATAAGGACTTCCCGTAGCACCATCTAATGTTTTCGAGCTTGGTTCGGTATGCAATTTCTGTTCCAACAAATCTCCTCCGATCTCCACGAATGTGGAGGCGCTGTTCCTAATGGGGTTTGAAATAGTGCGACTATTGGCAAGAGACGCGCGCTTGTGGCAGAGTCACCAACCACACATACTTATTACTTACGGCTTGCTAGCGTTCTGCGCGGAACGATAGAATTCAAAAGTGGAATACTTACATTTACAATGATTTATTCTCAAGTAGCAGGTTCTCTCAGTTGGCAATCAGTTGGCCTAGTTCTCCCAGAAAATCATGCCGATCTGCGGTTATCGAATTAGTATGGTAGGAGAGTGATGATGATGTCATTGGCCGGAGTACGCTCCGAGACTCCGCCTCACAGCTCCCCCCAATGCCCATCGTAATACTCCAAGATACAAGTGAGCTGGTATTATTGTTCATATCCTAACATGTTCTACTTTTGTACAAATATAGCTGCTACAGTTCAATTGTCTTCTGCCTCGTACTTGTTACATACTGACCATTGCGTTGCGAATGTACAAGGAATTTGAAGAGTCCGAAGGGGTCTTGCGTCGTACCCAGATCCGAATTCAGATAGAGTCATCTACCAGCGTCTTGTTGAGTGCATCGTACTTGGTCGTATCATTATACTGAGTCTTGTTTCTAGGCGTGTACGGCATAGTAGGCATGGAGTCGAGGTGGAGGTTGGACCGAGAGCGATTGATAATATCCGAGGCTACTTCCGAGCCGTACTGTTCTGCCAGTTGCCTTCAAGAAAGAGAAGAAAGGGTGGTCAGGCAATAGGAGAAAGAAAGAAAGGTGAAAGCTCACGTAGCGTAGTTATCCATGATAACAGCCATACTCGTCATACTCAACCTATACGCCTTGGGCATCATCCCCTTCCCAAATCGATACGTGACGTGGTTCGAGCACAACAAGCCCGCGAAGATGATGACGATGTGCACGGGGACGATGGAGAACACCGTCGTATACCACTTCCTCAGCACCCTCCTCTCAAACGCCAGGTAGTCCGACTTACACCCCTGCAGCATACTGCGCGCATAACACGTCTGGCTCACAGTCGCCTCGACGAACGGGCTGAAATATCCACAGCAACTCAACTGGTTTTGGATCCGCAGTCGACCATCCGCACCGAAATCGCGGGACCACTGTGCGTTGATCTTGCCCTCGAGGTTGAACGTGTGCCGTTTGTAGGTGAGGTATCCGGGGACGAGGAGGAAGATGAAGGCAATCCAGAGGAGGAAGGTGTATACGGCCAGAAAGGAGCGGTTGTTCATCATGATCCCGGCCCAGCCGAGAGTGGCGGTGAATATCCCCATGCTGGCGGCGAGGGTTGAGACGACGAGTTCGGGGCGGTTGCCGACGCGGACGACGTCCGCGTGCGACCAGACGTCGAACCAGATGAGGAGGCAGATGATGAGTGAGCATAGGGAATAGAGTGTCAACTGTACCGGTGTCAGTGTTAGCCGGATCCTGCACATCACAAAGGCAGAAAAGGAAAGGGGCGCACGAGAGTGTTGGCGGTGAACAGGACCCATTTAAACCTGTTCCAACGCAACTTCTTATTGGGACGTGCACCAAACCAGCTCTTCCTCGTCGGAACGCCGTCCTCGTCCTCATTCTCCCCGCCCATGCGTGCTTCACCAGTTCTGAACGCTTCGACCCCCCCGCCCATCTTCGGATACCCCGGGTTGATGCCCTTTTTCGATTTGCGGTTCTTGGGGTACGCCAGCATGCTGTTTGAAAATTTGCTAGGGAGGTAGTTGACCGACAAGCTGACGCTGCTGCTCGCCGTGCTCATATCGCCCTTGCTCAGCATAGACATGTCGCCTTTACTATCTGGGCCGAATGAGTCGTTACGCGAGCTGGGCGATCCGGGCGCATTGTAGCTGTACGACAGGTTCGGGAGATCTATTGGAGGGTTTCTGCTAGGCATGAGGGGTGCGTTGGAGGACGCGGTGGAATCGTTGCGTTGTCTGGCGGGCCTATGTACAGCGGGCGTTGAGTATCGCGATCAGTGAGTAGATACTGCGGAGTCGAAAGTCGCTTACCACGACTGGAGCTGCCGGCAAGGGGGGCCCGTCAGATTAAGAGCGGATCAACGGAAGAAACGCCGCACCAGTTCGTTTTGGCGAGCTTGAGCTTGAGCTTGGAGTTGAGCGTCGTGCCCAAGGTACGAGGACCACATCCTTTGCATCTCCGTGGTGGTGGTCAACAGGAGGGAAAGATGTCTTGTTTCAACAAATTTTTGGCTCAGCCTCTTGTGCGTACAATCGGCCTTGGCAAATAATACTCTAAACGCCTAGGGAAATTTCAGGCCACCGATACTGGTATCGCTCTTGGAAGTTATTCTGTTGAACTTTACACCAGTATGAGACTTTGTTTTTGTGAAGGAGGGGAATGCATGCAGAGCCCTGCTGTGGACGTCATGAGAATTAGTAATTGCTTGGGCTCCGATTGTGGTGCAATTCAAGGGCTCCTAAATTTTGTGCAATATCCTCACTCCTTTCAACTTTGTTGCTTGATGAATAATCCACCGATAGTACTACAGACGAAATCCTCATAACCCTTGCTTTCAATAACTACAGGAAGTACAATATTTGATCTTTTCATCTCTGATTGCTCATTTCCAGCCAAATTCCAGGTGGTCCAAAACTCATGGACACATGTGTGGAAAAATGCCTGAATGACACAAGGGTTCCAAAAATTTGTAGAATTCAATATAGGCAAGTGGGGATGTGTGTGGTGTGGAGCTGCAAGAAGATTCACATAGGACTGTGGAAACCTGAATCCATGTGGGTAGGATTCCTCTGCATCTTTCCACATGCCATTTTCTTGCAGTTAACTGATCCTTTACTTTGATGTGCATTAACAGAAGCCTGCGAAATTTCAAATGCAAAGTCTTCACTTGCATTATCTCTGGAATAGAATGCACAAGTATCACCTTGGTCACTCATGCATGACTTGCTTTTCTAATACTGTCATTCTATCCCTATTCCACTTATGCATTGAAGGATGCATGGTATAGATACCAAAGATGAGCCTTCTTTGATCAATGAGAATGATCTGAGAATTCATATTACTTCATAAAAAAGCTCTCATTCCAGGATTGATCCTCTCATTGAATCAATTCACTAATGCTCTTTATAACTTTTTATCCAGCTTTCATAATATTTTGAAGTGAATGAAGTGGCACTTTTTTAAATATACCTTCAAGCATATTTTCATGATGAAAAAAGGCAGCAGTTTGAAGAATAAGAATAGCAGTGTGGGCAGCCTCTCCATCTTGGTTAGATCCAAATTTCTATTGTGCTAGATTATGAATATTTCCAGATGCTCCAGTGAGGTGGCTAGCCTTCAGAAGAAGCAAGATAGCTTCATTCCATGACATTTGGTAAAATTTCAGAGGTCTCATAAGTGGTAAGACACCCAAGAGATCTGTTTCTGCTTGTAACAAGAATGCTGCCCTTGGATCCATGGAATAAATGTTTTTACAAATTCAGGTCTGCCATCAGCATTATTAAAGACTAGAAGCCAATCAATCTGCAGTAAAGAGATCCATGCAAGGGCAGACCAAGGGCAGACTCAGGGGACACAGAGGTCAACCTAACAGCGGCTTTGGCATCAGGATGGAAGCAAAGACCTTGCAGACCCAGAGTAATTGTATCTTCAGAAGATGCATCAATCCAAAAGATATGGGAGAATCTAGTAATAATTTTCAAAGACTTAAAAAGGTAAATAAATGAAGAGCAAATACCTATCAGCCATCTCTTCCACAAACTTCAAACAAATCTGAGTCTTTCCAATGCCTCCCAGACCATACAATAGAAAAGAATTCCTCTGTGTATTCCCCTGATCTTGATACAGAGTGAACCTTTGGTTTCTCAAAAAATGTCCTCACACCCTGTAAATAGGGCAGTTGAGTTTAGTTTCTGGGGAATGGAAAGTGCATCATTCTGAATGCTGGATGAAACTCCATCTTAACCAAAAATTGGATGAAAATATCCTGGATCACCACCATGATAACAGAACATACTTTTTGGGCATTATATAGATTGGAACCTTTAATTACAAAGTTGTGAGCTCCTGGCAAAACATTCAGGTGTCCTATGAGATATGAGCAGAAAAATTTAGTTGGACCAAAGTGCTGAGACATACCAAAGCTCTGCCTTTTGCTGTAACCTCGGGCACTAGTAAGAATCTCATCAGAATAGATGTACAGATAGGGAAGTAGACCTGACCTTGATTCAGTTGAGAGGTTCTCTTTGAATGGGTGGTGAGACTCTAAGAATTGACCATACAATGCATTGAACTTGCTTTTCAAAACACTTCCGAGGACCAAGGGGGAAACCAGGATCAGACCTGGTGGTATAGAAGGAAGCAACAATGCTGTGCAGTGTCACTCAGTTGTGACTGATGACGAGCTGACGTTTCTGTTTATTTATAGCCTTGTTTTGTCGATATGTACTAGCTGCCAGTGGTGTCACGGCCGTGTTGACCTCGGCCATAAAGGTCAGGCCGAAATGTGGGTCAGGCCAATTTGACTGGTCATGTCCGCAGTCAAAGGGATCAAACGTCACATGCATGCCAAATCCCAGGTTACCCGCGACATTGAGTAGACAGTGAAGCAAGTAATCAAGTAGTGTCGAAGCCGTCTGTATAGCACTGGTAGCGCTTTATATGTAGAAAAGTATGGAATTATATACACATTACCCTACATTACCCTCTGCTCCCTTGAGTTCTACAATGCCTCCACCCTTGCCACTCTGGGGATATTTTCATCACGATAAAAGCCATTACAAGAACGACAAGACTCACCTGAATGCATGGTGCAAGGCATGTATTTTGTCCCAAAAGCGTGTCTTGCTAGAATTGGATTCGTCGAGAACCCGTAGAGGTGAAATCACGGCAGTGCGGAGTCCCTTGGAATTGGAGCTAGCCGGTATGTTAGATATCAAATTGATTTCCCTCAATCAACCTAAAAACAATACAGCCATCACGAGGGTCACACCGGTCTGCGGAAAAGTTGATCGCATGAAAACACACATCAAGAATTGCAAATCACTCACCGACGATGAACGCACCCTGGCTATATTGACTGTACCCCACGCCCCAACGCGCCGGCAAGCTACAGCCCTCTGTGAACACCCCACCCTTGTCCTTTCCTCCCCGACTACATCTTTTCATCACCCTACCTCTGAACCGCCTATTCCGTCAAATACTGCAACAACGACTCTTAATCAGTCTGCTGTTCGTCTGTCACCAACACCACTATGCATACCTGCTATTAAAAGGTTGAAGTCCCTACACGATGGACGTGGTGGTGTACGGACACTTGCAAAGGTTCTTTCGCCGCAAGAACTGCAGGATGACTTTTCCGGTGATCTATGCAAACTGCTCATCTCGTCAAACACAGCATGGGCAGCGGCAGATAATCCCACATTCCATACCTTTGTTCACAAGTGGATTGGGCCTGAGGTCGTCGTACAGGATCATCGAATCATGTCAGGCCGGGTGCTTGACAACGAGGTCAGAAAGGTGGAGAATAAGGTGCGACAAAAGGTTCGGGGCAAGCTGGCAACTGGCTCATGTGACGGGTGGAAGAACATCACCAAGACGTCTGTTGTAACCTCGTTGATGACCGTTGACGCAATCGTGAGCCAGTACCGCTTATTACTCGAAATGATACTCACTTCACTGTTCTAGCCATATTAGTAGCTGCTATCTACGCCCTCACCGTTTTGTTGTAGGAGGATGAGCTAAGAATGAACGTGACCTTACTGGCGCGACTGCTTTTTCGGATGCCTCTGAGCTTCGATCGCAGCTCCAATGTCACTAATACTTACTTCCCTGGATCTGGCTTGATGTTGAAGGACATGACATGCCCGAGTATCTCTCTATTCTTGAAAAATGCTGATGCCTCATGTCCCGCATGTTATTTGAATATGGAGCTACACAGTTCAACAGGTTTACACCAAGGGGGTTCAAGAATTTAAAAAAAGTAGCTGGGGTGGAATTTTTTTGTAAGGCCCTGTGTGCTTGACCTACCTACCTACATAATCAGGCACATGCCTATATATGGCAATATGACATCATCATCATGATCGCTCTCATCCTCTAAGGCTTCGCATACCCAATTTCGTGGGGCTATCTCCAATGCAACACATTGTAGGTGGTACTAAAAAATAAGTGAGTGTAGTGATTAACTTGTGCAAGACTGATACTCACCTGTTGAGTCTCACATCCAACCATTTTACCAAGCCATTGCATCCTGAGTGCAATACCACACTGCACAGGCATCCGTTTAGAGTGTCTGATGTGTCGAAAGCATCAAGATGATTCAAGTTTTGAAATCAGGTCACACAGCATACCAATTGGTGTCAAGAACTGGTCTCTAACTGTTTTGTCAGTAAATTGTGATTGATTAAAACATTAGACAAAAATTTGATGATGATTAGACTGTGAAAAACAATTTTGAAGCCAGAAATTGGGCTGGATATAATGAAATATAATATCCAGTCAAGATAATGTACTATACAATGATATTCTAGATGCAGGAATACTGTAAATCACCTTGGAAAACCAATTTAGGACTATCTTGTAGAGGGTTCCAAAAATCTTTTTTTTGGCCTATGGCCAACCTACCTACCCAACCCCCAGTCCAGCATTCAGATCCCTGAACCCCCTTGGTCTACACCAATCATTCTCGATGGCTTTACTTCACCCAATATCAATCCTCACGCCAAAGAAATACCGATAATGGACAGCATCGAGCTCATAGCGCCCCACCTTAAAAAGGAAAACGTGTCAAGTTGTGCTGAAACTAATGCCAATTTTGTTCACTCCCTCAGCGACTCCCCGGTCTCATCTCCTGCCCTTGCTGTACAAAAATGTGTTTGAACTCCGGTGTATGAACCTTTTCTGAATGTCGATGACTCAAATATGACATTTTGACGTTTAATACCTTTATACTAAGTACATAAAAACGAGACAGTTCGAAAAAAAAGGTCGAAGGGTAGACGATGGGTAGCCATGCACCGAATATCGCGCAGCGTGAGAGGGGAACATGAAAACGCCGAAACAGTGAAATGGTCCAGGTGAATTCATCTGCGCATGCGCTTTATTGACATAGAAAACTACCGTAGGTTTTTCTGGATGAGCTGGCGTCATTATGTCGAGTTTTGAGTTTCAATGCCTCGATGACGCCTTTGGAGGCCCAATCTGTTGTTTGTAGGCATCATTCCATGGTAGACGGGCGTAGCTTCTCCGGCGTTTCGCACGAACATTCTCAGTCTGATGCGACTCGTCGGTCTCCTTCGGCTAAATAGTTTTACCCCCTTGAGGCCGCTATTTCTCGTCGAGGAAGGAACAGCTCCCTCCTTATCAGACTTTGGACACGCATAACTTGTGAACAAGGCGTCAAAAATGAGCCAACGCTAGAGGCTAGTGGGAGAGGTACACTTGCCGTCTGCATTTGCTCTGAGATTCAGTGGAATACTAGTGAATATCAATTTGAGGGGTTGTGGATCGTGTTTTCCCGAACCTGAAATTTGAACAACCTTGTCAAGAAATGACTGTTAGATTAACGACATTTTGATGTCATTTCAGAGAGCCGGGTGTGCGTCTCCGATTTATCTGGTCCAAGCCTTCTCAATGGCCTGCGATCGGTAATATTAGTATGCAGGGCCAGTAAGAAAGCTGGAGCGCACCTCGCTCTAGTTGTTAAAATGGAAGTAACGCAAGCGTTTGTGACTAGCAGCGTTCGAATTACTTACGAATGACTTTAGTGTAGGGCTGAGGGTAGTGAATAGTAGAAGCGCTCTTTTTTGGGGTCCAGGCGTATCCCAGCCGCAAAGTGAACGTGTTCAAAAGCGCTGATACGCAGTATGCAATCATAAAAGGGTCAAACCTAGCCTTTTTGAAGGGGTGTAAAAATATTTTTCCGCAGTCAATTTTCGAAGTAAGTGTTGAGCTTTCATCCATTTTCGACGTGTTGTATGATGTTCCTTAATGCGGCTTCTTTTCAGCGTTTCCTATTCTTCCTTAGCACGATCGATAGGAACACAAATACATACATAACCCGGGCCGTTGAGTCTGGCTGGCGAAAAAGGCGAGCGTTCAGCTTCTCGTCCAGCTGCTCGTCCTGGCTGTCGAAATAATTCTTGTCACTGGTCTCTAAGAAAGCAGACATTGGCTTGTTAACACTATTAGTGGCTGCGTCGGAGAGGTGGGAGCCCACTTACCTGGCATGTCATACGGGATTCGTAACGCAGTAAGTTGTAATGATGAACTGCCTCCTCGACCAACGAGGTTTGTAAGAGGGATCCGATAATCGATCTCCGTGCTTTATTTCTTTTATCTGGATCGATAATGTTAGCAGTGGCGCCCCACGCCGGCGCCGTTGAAGCATACACTGTTCCTCGTTTGCATTGTCCGCGTAGTACTGTGATTGGATTAATTCAGATGGTGTTATAGAGTTCTGACAGGCGATATTGAAATGCTTGCCCGAGGAAGTCACGCGATGGTTGTTTGTTCCTAAGGACCTTGCCACACACAGGCGCTTGCACGACACGGCACCGTTCGACTCATCAACCAGCATCAAAAAATCCCGCCGTTCCCCTGTTCAAGGCCTCCCGCCGTGACTCGAAGCATCTAGGAATCTACTTAAAAAACGCGTAATTATCCATTCGCCTTTGCCTAACTCAATTCTGAACAGTAGTTGTGTAGCTTTTGACGCTACAAGACATCACAAAGCATAACGAAGGGATTCATCTCAACGAGCGCGTCTATCAGGTTGCCTTAATCGCTTTATCTTCAACCCCTTCGTTATCTGATATTGACTCCCTAGTAAACGTCGCACAGCCAAGTCGCGGATCCTTTGTTGTAAACCTTGTAATCGATTACGCGCCATTGTTGTCGACTACCACCACTCCTGTCTTTGTGTGTACCCATCCTATAGTTGCATCACGAAGATGTGAGTAGTGGCCCCATCTTAGCTGCGTGTCTGACAGCAAAGTTGTAGAATCAAGCTTCGAATTACTTCTGAAGTGAATACAGCCGAACAACTGAAAACACTTCTATCTATATTAAGGTGTGAGCTCCTATCCATCCATCTCACGCGTTCAATTTCTGACATTGGCATGCAGTTGTGCAACTCATCTTCCATCGTGGCATCCACACTATCCGTATCGGACAGACGTACGCTGCCATCTGCACGTTTTCTGACCTTCCATCTAACAATTCAGCATGTGATGATACCCAGTTCTCAGAACAACATACCACTGCATCCAACTCGCTTTAAAAACCAGATGAAATGCAAGAGGGAGGCATCATCGAGATTCCTTCATCTCCTGAATCGTCAATGCACATTCCCGCCATCCGAACGCTTGGTAAACCCAGAATTCCAGCAGCAGCCAAAGGCAAAACACCCATCCGACGACGACCAAGACGAGAACCCGTCATAGAGCTCACAGATTCCGAAGCGGACGACCACAAATTTGCTCCAGGCCCCAGTAATAGCGGTAGCAGCTGGACGATACCATCCTCATCCTCCCACCCCCGGTCCGATTCCCAGACGCTCCAGCCGAAAATGGGAGGATCCTCAGGGTCGTTGGATAATATTCCTTTACATCGAAGACAAGAAAAGACGCCTACGCAACCGAGGGCGTTTCCTCTTTTTTTGGAGAGTGACCAGGAGAACGAACCGCCTGTCCAGGTTGCTGGACCAGCGATTGCGCCCCCTCAAGAACCGCAGCATGCGCCTGTTCCTGCGCCGGGTGCTATGCGAGTTGACCCTGTCCCAGACGAAGTCTTTGTTCCACTTCCTATTGATGTACCGGCCCCCGTGGAAGAGGAAAAAGATCAAGTATCCACGGTCGTCGCACAGGTTCTTGAGATTATCCCGGACGTGCATCCCGATCACCTCCTCGCGCTTGTGGAACAGCATCTGCCGACGCATCAAGCTCAAGTTCTTGAACATGTCCTTCATATCCTTTTCGAAGACGCGAGTTACCCTAAGGTTGAAAAGAAAGCTAAGGGGAAGCGAAAGGTTGAAGCGGAAGAGGACCCAGCACCAGCGAAAAAGGCCAAGATAGACTATGGGAGTACAGAACGGCAGTTTCAGAGGGGGAGACATTACGTTGATCTTTCTCTGGTATCTCTCTTTTCCCTCCTTTTACTTGAAACGCGCTTATTGATTGGATAACTTGCAGAATCAACTCCAAGCTGACTTTCCATACATACCTAAACCGTACCTCCGGCGCCAGCTGGCCCTACACAATACTCTATACGCGCCTACGTACCTCTTTCTCTCCGCTCAAGAGAAGAGGCTGCAAAAGGAGGATAATCAAGACATCTGGCCGTATTCGCGCAAGGTTACACCCTTTAAGGCTGCAAAAGGGAAGGGGAAGGCTGTGCTTACTGAGGATCCGCAGTTTGAGGCTGAGAGGGCATGGATATTGGAGCAGTCGGTGGAAGGGAAGGGGGGCAAAGTCCAGGAGGAGGGGGAGGAAGAGGAGTATGAGGATAATGGAGATGGAATCGAGTGTGGGTGTTGCTTCTCCACGTACCCTTTCGTAAGTCTGTCTGCCCCCCTCTTCACTCTCGTCTAACTCACCACAACGCATGCAGGAAAAAATAGTTCAATGCCCTGAAGCCCACCTCTTCTGCATATCCTGCATCTCAACCTACGCATCCTCAAAGCTAGGCGCACACGACGCCGACCTCGTTTGCGTGCACCAATCCGGTTGCAAGCTCCCCTTCCCCTCTTCCGAGTTACGCCGCTTCCTCCCGGAAAAGTTGATGTCTTTATACGAGAGGGTGAAGCAACAGAAAGAGGTCGAGGCTGCTGGGTTGGAAGGGTTGGAAGAGTGTCCGTTTTGTGAGTGGAAGTGTGTCATTGAGAATGAGCAGGAGAGGTTGTTTAGGTGTGGGAACGAGGAGGGGGGTTGTGGTGTTGTTAGTTGTAGGGGGTGTAAGAAGGTGGTGGGTATCGTTTTTCTTCTTTTTCTTCAGTGGATTGGGGATTGATCGGGCTTTTTTTGGTAGGATCATTTGCCGAAGAGCTGTAAGGGTACGTTTTGCCTTTTGGTTAGCTTTGGTTTGTGACGAGGCTGATGGGGCGTGCTTTGCGCAGAGATGGAAGAAGATAAACACCTCGATGGACGACATGCCATTGAAGAAGCTATGAGTGCGTATCTTTCCTACCCCGTGCAGATCACCACTGACCTGTCTTACAACACACAGCTCGTGCACTTATGCGTAATTGTCCCAAGTGTCAAAAAGGTACGCGGTCCCTCCTTTATCCTCCCTTTCTCCATTTTCGTCAAAGCGTTCATCAAGGAAATGGGGGTACGTTTCTCCGTTTACGTTCATCAGGAAGGTGAAGGCTAACGTGGTGGTTGTGATAGTGCAACAAAATGACGTGCCCCAATTGTCATACTCTATCTTGCTATATATGTCGGCAGGTTATCAAGGGGTATGATCACTTTAACCAGGTATGCTATGCGTCTCTCTCTCTCCTTTGTTGCAGTTCCTTTGATTGGTCCCTCCGCTAGGCTCCGCCCGGCCATCCTTCAGGTAGCACGAACAACAAGTGTATCTTATGGGATCCAGTGGAACAGCGGCATGCTGACGAGGTATTAACCCTTCCTCCTTCCCTCTTTCCCACCAACTAACAATACCCCAAAGGTAAAAGAAGCAGCAGAAAAAGCTTTAGCGCAATACAAACTCGACCATCCCGAAGCAGACGAAGAACAGATCAAAGTCGACCTTCCCGTAGCTCCACCTCCGCCTGTTCAACCCCACGGGTATAACAATATGGGAATGCAGCAGATGATAATGCCCATTCCGCCCATGTTGCCTGTGCACATGCAGATGCCTATGATGTACATGGGGGATGCAGCCAGAGTGGGAGTGGGAATGGCGGGGTATCCGTACCCAGCGATGCAGATGGAAGCGGAACGGCATCGGATGCGGCAACAAATGGCACAAGCTAATATTCGTGCTGCGCAGGGGGTGCTGGATAGGGAGCTTAGGGAGGTTGCGATGGCACGGAGGGCGGAGGAGGTGTTATTGTTGGAGGAGGAGGCTGCTGCTGCTAGGGGGAGGGCAGGTGGAGAAGTAGCTGGGAGAGTGAGGGTGGCCAGGATGAGAATGGGGAGGGACGTAGACGATGCGTTGGTTCAGATGAGGAGGCAGAGGGTTATGGAGCGGGCTGCTGCTGAGGTTAGGGTGGAGAGGGCTAGGGATGCGGTTAATGCGGCACGTGCTGTTGCTGCTGAGTTTGAGTTGGATGCTGGGCGGCAGGGGGAGGAGAGGAGGAGGCGGGAAGCCGAGGAGAGGGAGAGGCTGAGGGCTGCTGCTGTTGCAGCGAGGTTGGCGGCCAAGCCGAGAGCAAAGAGGGCGAGGAGGAGGTGATGTATGTATATACTCTGATTTTGCACAAACTATGTATAATATGATAATAGTAATCTTGCCAGATATATGTGTTGATGAATCATGAATGCAAGGTATGAGAGAGCGGCAACAATAAGAAAACAGAAACAAACAGGGAGAACATGGCTTGGATTGCTGTCAAATTGCTGTTACAGTTACTCTTCTAACTACCTACAACTTCGTCGCTGGATACGGCTCAAAGCCGAACCGGTCAGTCATCGTAGAGTTTTTCCAGAAAACTTTCTCACCATCTCATGCAGGTATTTAATTCAAATTCAAACCACGCAATTTCAAACTTGTAGTGCGAGATGGACAAGTCCAAGTCACCGTATGCACCCTATCTCCACACCAACTACCCCCCTTCGGCCTCAGAAATCCTTGATATAAAGAACTTTCTAACAGAACCACTCGGGCGTTTATCTGCCTTGGATGCCGAAATCGAGCGGCTGGACTCGATCATCCGCGTCTTGTGTGACGAGCGTTGCGCTCTGAGTGATGAGATCGAGGCTCATCAAGCACTTATCTCTCCTTTTCGGCGACTGCCTCTCGATATAATGGAGGAGATCTTCACTCATTGTCTTCCTACACATCATAACGCCGTCATGAGTGTTGGCGAAGCTCCCCTCTTGCTGGGCCGCGTTTGCAGCGCATGGAGATCTATCACTCTGGCAACTCCACGGCTTTGGGCAAGCCTTCACATCCCGACGCCTACAGCAGATCTTAGTCAGGCATCCGTCCGCAAGTTGGCAGTACGCTGCGAAGCGGTGAGGGAATGGTTCCTCCGTTCGGGGGAGGTTCCTCTCTCCATTTCTCTTTACACTCCGAATTTTTATTATTCTTGGGACAGTTCGCCTGATTCTCTGGAGCACGTTGATTTTTTTGGGAGAGTGTCAAGGCAGATACTCCCTTTTAGCCGCCAATGGAAGACAGTTTACCTCAGAGGAATGGGAGGCTCCTTTACACATACCCAAGAGATCGTGGAGGGCGATGTTCCAATGCTGGAATCCCTTTCCATTGTCAACTTGAACATGCCGATGATAGCTTCGGGGCCGCAAGATTTTTCTCAAGCTGGGGAACCCTGGAAGAAATCTTCGGGTCTTCTCTCAGCTCCAAAACTACGAAGCCTTTCTTTAACGAATTTCGGAGAAAATCCTCTCGGCTTGCCAGTATGTTGGTCGCGGCTTACTCACCTCAAATTGGACGCAGATGGTTCAACCCAATTCTCAGAAAGGCCAAGCGGCCTCAGGTACAGCCAAGTTGTCCAAGTATTGAAGAAATGCCCGCTGCTCGTTAGCTGCAGTTTCCGCCTTAGAAACACCAGATTCAATGAAAGTTTGGGGAACCCATCATCCAGTTTTGAAATGCCGCCCAGCCAGTACACCCTTAGTCTCCCTCTTCTCCAGCACTTCTCCCTCAGCCTCACTGGCAGATCAGATGAAGCTTTCCTAAAATACCTCGGTTTACCAGCTCTCCGTCATTTGGAGGTCAAAGTTCAAAAGTCCGACCACGAGATATCAGAGAACCAGCGCTCCGTTTTGATGGACTTCCTCTCACAGAATGGTGTCAAGTTGAAAAAACTTTCCATTGAGATATGGGCAATGGAACAAGATGAGCTTATATGTTGCTTGAAATCAGTGCCATTCGTCACCCATCTCCATCTCAATAACTTTAATCCTGGTTCTGTTGATGAGGAAATCGCTGACCGCCTCACCCCCTCTGGCAGTAACCCTGACTATCTCTGCCCTTTGCTTGAAGAATTTCATTGCGAAGGGTCGCAATGTGCAAGCTTTTCTGAAGCACATTTGTTGTCCTTCGTTGTTCAGCGGCGTGTGTCCAAAAACGGGGGAGTGCTGAAACGAGTCCATGTTATCTTTCATCGCAACCGTCCAGAGAATATAGAGGAGTTCTTTGCTTTTCCGGAAACCGTACTGGAAGGGGGGGACTATATTAATTATAAATCTGAGGGGCTTGACTATCGGGCTGACGCTCGCATTTCTGTTGAATCTGGGCTCGGACATGAACCAATTACATTTGTGGATGTCGAATACGCGCTGGAGCCGTCAATAGATGGATCCTTGTCTCCTTGGGAAGGCCTGGATGGGCATGACTACCACCCCGTGTCCTCCCCTCGTTTCACTCTTCGAATGTAGGCGTGCGGCAGTCACTGACCTCTTTTATGAATGGTCGAATATTTTGCCTTGTATATAAGTCACAAAACGCTCCCGAGTTCGTAACGATGTATTTAGGACAGCCAGAAATCAGAAGTGAGCAAAAAATCAGAACATTGTTATGTCGACAACTTGAAGTTCTTAATATCCTCGTCACCGCCGCAGTCCCTTGAGAATGTCGGTGGGTGTGTCGACGACAGCAATGGCTCGATCGTCTACGCACCGAGGCGGCTGGAATACAGTATCGGACCTCATGGACATTAGTGGCAAGTCACCAAGTGATGAGGTTGACGAAAACTCACATCACGGAAAGGTCACCACTAGGCAAGTTCTACTTACAAGTAGCTGGAAGTGTCTACGAGCGTTGTGTTCTACACTAGTGGAACTAACGTCTCTCAGACCCTACGCTTCATGCTGCCGACTCCACCGTTGGCCAGTTTCTCGCCTACGGCTGCCACTGCCCCATCACGCCCAGCTCAACGAACTCCGCAGACGCTTTCCCTCCCGATCCATACCTCGCATTTCCAATCGGAACACTGCATCTCCCTGACACAATGTCTCTATGTCCCCCCAGAATCTAAACCCACCCCACGGATTGAACCTGCACCGTCGCACTGGGCTAGTCCAGCCTCAGCCTGTTCTTTCCCTCTGCTGGACTGGTCTTGGCCGTCTAGAGGTCGGTTGCTGATGTGAAGCCAGCTGAAGAATACATTGTCTTCTTCACAAGGGTAGAGAAACCTCTCCAGGAAGACGGCGACGCGAGAGGCGGACATGCTCCCACGTCATTGAGAGTCTTGAAGCACGACCTCGGCGCTGATGAAAGTCGACGAAACGGAAACCCGAGAAAGCGAGCGGGGGCTACAGGTGCATTCGGCCCGAATTCACCCTCGTCGAAGATTCGGCTTGGCGTGGTCCGCAATATCCACTCGTAGACATCGAACAAGACGAGGTTTATACCCATCCCTCATGCAACTTCATCTCGATTCGCCCTCCACCATACATCGAGACGAAGAAGCCGTGCGTCCGTGTCTCGTTAGGAGAGGCCCTCCGAACATCGATAGCTGTCGGGAGGACGATGTAATAGGCCAAGAACACACTTGGCCTCTGCACTCGGGGGAGGCGTTGGGAGATTGGGAGGTGTAAATGCATTTCCGCTGCAGAGGATGGTGGGTGTGAAGGGGTTGCGGAGAGGATGGTTTTCTTTTACCATTGGTTTAGAGGGGTGGGCGGGCGTAGGTGTGCAAGAGAACGCGCTCGGACTTGGGAGCAAATATGTATAGTTATCTGCGTAAACAGTCGTTGGCTACCCCGTTATAGAAAAGAATTTGAACTCACTTGACATTCTTTGTCAGGCGAACCAAGGCCTAAGCTGTCCCATCATGCAATTCGAGATTTGACACCGCGCAACCAAAAATGCTGTGACTGCTAAGCAAAAGATTGTCAGCGGAGGCTCCCGCGTCCAGCATGTACATTCCCCACCTTCATTCCCCAGGAAATTCTTGAAAGATCTTCGTTGCTGTACGAACTCATACGGGAAAAAAGATGCGGGGTCCTGTAAAACACCGCCCGTCACATTAGGCGCCTCCGGCGCCAGCGGATTTGTCGTAAACTCTGTAGGAGCCAGCATGCAAAAGGTCGAGCCCACTCACCGAAAACGGTGAACCGCCATGTCTGGACACTGAGGAGCGAGAAAAGCGAAGATGGCGAGAAGACTGGAGAAGCTTGGGCACGTGCTTAAGGTACATAGATAAAAATAGATCAAAACACACGTCGACCTGGTGGCGTAATTGGGGGTCTCCTGGCCTCCGGGCGCTCTTCTTTCCTTCCTTCCCTCATCCTGAACCTCTCCACCTTCGGTATCTCAATATGAGCGGAGCGAGTGTTTTTGCCGGTGCTAACCACTTTGTTGCTAGCAACAGCACGTTCAATACTGCTAACACTGTGAGTAGCCTTATCATAGCGTTTCGGTGAACTCAACTGATAGCATGGATCTCGGGCAGATGCACATCCACAATAGCTATTATGGCAGTAGTACGACGTCTGATGGGGTCATTCCCCTGAAGCCTAGTTCGAGCATTCGGTTTACAGGCCGCACTGAAGTCATCGCCAAACTTAAGAAGCATTTTTCTACTAACACAATTGACCCAGCTGGAGAAAGAAAAATTTTCCTGTTACACGGGATGGGGGGCATTGGGAAGACTCAAATTTGCTTGAAGTTTGTTGAGGAAATGGCTGACTGGTGAGTATCACCAAAGATTCAGATCCAGCCCTCATTTCTAAAAATTTGGATTCCCTTCAGTTTCTCTTCTGTTTTCTGGATGGATGCTTCCTCAGTTGGCACCATCACACAAGGACTCAAGGGTATCTGTAACCTTGCTGCAGCTCAGTCTAGTGGATTGGATGGCTCACCTGAGTCTGCTCTTCACTGGATTGGCTTACTGAAAGAGAATTATGTAATGGTCTTTGACAATGCTGATGTTCTATCACCTACTGAACTGGAGGCTTATCTTCCATCTGGAAGGGGGGGAAACATTCTGATAACTAGTCGTAACTCCAACATGAGGAATCTGACTTCACCTGAGAATTCTATTGAAGTAACTGAGATGGAAGAGGCTAATGCTATTGAATTACTTCAAAAAGCCAGTTACTTGGATCCATCTTTAATGGAGTTTCAGACTGAAGCTTCTAAGATTGTGAAGGAGCTGTGCTGCCTTCCTCTTGCTATTGATCAGGCTGGTGCTTACATTGCATCTGGGGCCGCCACTATTGGAAACTACCTTGCAAAGTATTCGGATCACAGAAAAACATTATTATCCCATTCTGAATTTATTGGAGCTTCTAAGTATAACAGAACTGTCTATGGAACTTGGGAACTATCATACCAAGAACTTCAGAAAAGGGCTGAATCTGATGATTCTGATAAGGCTAATGCAGCCAGAAGTGCAATGAACCTTCTGGAATTGTTTTCTTTCTTCCATCATGAGGGAATTACTGAGGAAATATTTTCTTATGCTGCCCTTCAAAAAGATGAAATAGCCCCTAGCCCTGAATTGCCCCTTGCTAGCTCTATCCTGGATCGTAGACTACTTCCTCTCAACAAAACAGGTACTTGGGATAACTTCCTCTTTGGAGAGGGACTTCGAACATTATTGTCATTCTCATTGATCAGGAAAGGTCCATCTGATGGTGTGTATGCAATGCACCCACTTGTCCACACCTGGGGCAGAGACAGATTACTTTTAAATGAGAGAAAAAAATGTTGTTTAAAGGCATATGTTACTTTGGCTTGTTCACTAAGAGTGGTTGAAGGCCAGTCATATGGATTCAGAAGAGCATTGGTAACACATGTGAGAGCAAATATGGAGCACTCCAGATCAGAAAGTAACCAGGATGGTGTCAGTTACCTTGATGATGCTCATGCTAAGTGTGGGACACTGTTGCGGGAACAAGGATATTTCAGTGAGGCGGAAACCTTGGAAAATGAAGTTGTAGATACAAGGAACAGAATTCTTGGAGTGGAACACCCAGAAACAATCCATGCCATGGTACATCTAGCAAGGACATATCAGCACTTGGGAAAATATGCAGATGCAGAGAAGCTGGAGGTCAAAGTTCTGGATGTGAGAACCAGAATTCTTGGTGTGGAACACCCAGACACAATCCGTACCATGAGAAATCATGTAATAACATATAATTACCTGCGAAAATACACAGAGGCAGAGAAGCTGGCGATTGAAGTTTTGAATGCAATGACCAGAATTCTTGGAGTGGAACACTCAGACACAATCAGAGCCATGGAAAATCTAGCATCTACATGTAGAAACATGGGAAAATACACAGAGGCAGAGAAGCTGGACATCCAAGTCTTGGATGTAAGAAACAGGATTCTTGGAGTGGAACACCGAGAAACAATCCAAGCAATGGAAAATCTGGCATCTACATATAGAAACATGGGAAAATATCACAGAGGCAGAGAAGCTGGGCATGCAAGTAGTGGATGCAAGAAACAAAATTCTTGGAGTGGAACACCCAGAAACAATCCAAGCAATGGAAAATCTGGCATCTACATATAGAAACATGGGAAAATATACAGAGGCAGAGAAGCTGGGCATGCAAGTCTTGGATGCAAGAAACAAAATTCTTGGAGTGGAACACCCAGAAACAATCCAAGCAATGGAAAATCTAGCAATAACATATGATTACCTGGGAAAATTCACAGAGGCAGAAAAGCTGGAGATCCAAGTAGTGGATGAAAGAAACAAAATTCTTGGAGTGGAACACCCAGACACAATCAGAGCCATGGTAAATCTAGCAATGACATATAATACCCTGAAAAACTACACAGAGGCAGAGAAGCTGGAGATCCAAGTCTTGGATTCAAGAAACAGAATTCTTGGAGTGGAACACCCAGAAACAATCCATGCAATGGAACATCTAGCAGCAACATATAAACACTTGGGAAAATACACTGAGGCAGAGAAGCTGGAGATCCAAGTTCTGGATGCAAAGAACAGAATTTTTGGAGTGGAACATCTACACACATTCCAAGCAATGGGAAATCTAGCAAAAACATATCATAACCTGGGAAAATACACAGAGGCAGAGAAGCTGGAGATCCAAGCCATGAATGCAATGACCAGATTTCTTGAAGTGGGAGACCCAGACATAATCACAGCTATGGAAAATCTAGAAGAAGAATCTTCTCATACAGTTACCTCTATGGCCAATGTCCAAGAAGCCCAGGAGATTCAAGCTCTTGATGCAGGCAACAACATTTCTGTTGAAGAAAACTTACATCCAACACAGGTTGCTTTGAATAATCCAGTTCAAGCAGTTCTTCCAGATACAACAATGAACCCTGAGAAAAAAGGTATGCATTTAGGTAATTGTTGTTTAAACCCCCTCTGATGTTTTTATCCCCAGTTCATTTCATTTTCAAACTTGCAAAGAGATTTTCAAAAATTAAATCCAAAATAGCACAT